AGTATTTGCATAATTTGCTACCTTTTCACACAGTCTTTTACAGTTAGAGTAGGGCATTTATACTGTTTTCCCTTGTATTATGACTGTGGTCATGTGAGAATTAATAGATGGATTTAAATTATTTGTTGGTAATTTTTTCCAAGAACATGTGTCATTCATAGTTTAAACTGTTTAATGTAAATTAATCTGGTTAGCCTTGTCATCTTTCTTACATGTGTAATTCACAGTGCACAATAGTGACTCTTAAAGCTCTTGCTGTTTCTTTTATTATATCTGTTTCTTCTTTGTGTAATGTGATGTGTATAAAGTGCATTGTTGCCTTCTAATAAATGTTTCCCTTTTCGTTTTTATTATGTTGTGGTGGGGACAGTTGTGACTTTTGAATATTTGTCACTTGAGCATGAACATTTTTTTAGTATTTTTATTAAGGAAGAGACAGATATGGAAACTGCACATTAAGGCTGTGGCAACAGCAGTTCCTAAGAACATTAATTAATTTAAGTAAACATGAGAATTATGTGCGAATAATTGAAAAGTGTTGTTTTGAGACAAAATAAGTTTGCATTTCTTGTGTCAGTTTCAGTACAAAGGCAGATAGTGTACTGGATTGATAAAGTGGCAACTGTAGTGTAAGCAACTCAGAGTTAAGTAAATGAGATCTCAGACTCCGGTAGCACAGAATCAGATGCATTTGGGAGGGGGAATGTAAACAGAAAGATGACCACAGTGTAAACAATGACAACTCCCATGTAAAAATAAAGAACGGGCAATTATGCGTTACAAAACATAATCTTATTATTTCCTCCAGAAATCTGTTGTCTGTGGAAGATACTGAACACTTCTTGATTAATAACATTAATGTCTCAGTGATGAAGTCAAGTGATCACTGTAAGTTATGTGTGGAATTAATAGTCTATATTTTATCTGAAAATTCTAGGTTAAAAATTGTAATGAATAGACCAAAGTTTATTTTATGATTTTCTGCACTCTAAAACATTTAAACATCGGTTTAATCCTGTTGGGTGAGGAAATTTAAATTCTGTGATTTAAAGGTTAGTTTAATTAGGTAATCTTACAACACTTTAATTGTATGATTTGAAGCTTTCACGATCGTGTAACTCAGCAAAATTTTCTTGGGTGATCAGCTGTGTCAAATGGTTGAAAGAAGAAACTGACGTTTCAGGGACCATCTCTGTCCCCATCATCAGGGTTCTGATGTGACTGGATGTTGCAGTTGTCTCCCATATATACCTGCCCGACCAGTGCTCATGGCCGGACTCTAGCCAATCACAGCTGGTGGGCGGAGTCAAGAGCTTGTGCTGTGTGGTCCTGCTTTCTATTGGTGTTTTGACTGGATTGCTTGAGAATTTTTGTTACCAGATATCAGGTCCGACTCAAAGCGTAGCCTCCATCCCTATTAAAGTTATTGGGATGCAGGTTGATCTCTATTGCTTCTTTTATCAGGCGGTCCATGTATCCTGATTTTTTTCCCAGAATTAATTTATAGTCATTGGCATGGTTTAAACTGGAAATACATTTTGTAAAGTTTGAGTTTAAAATTAATGACATATTCCACCACATGGGCCAGGATCAGAAATGCTTGTGCTTTGATTATGCCCTTGGTGATCACCAAAACTTCCAGAGATAGTCTTCCTCTGTTGTCTGAGAAGTTTAAATGTATCAAATCATCTTAACTCCTACAGTGCTGCGATCACAGCACCAATTACTCCATAAAACTGTACTAAATTCATGTCAATTGAGTGGAGAGGAAACTTAAATCTGAATGTTACTTGGGCAGGACTATCTCATGTTTGCCTGGGAAAAGTCATGCTCTTTTGTTAAACTGTAAACTCAGTTGATCCTATGCTTCTATCTCATGACCTGTAATTGTCAGGAGGGGAGAGTAGAGCTGTGCCTCATTTACTACAAGAATTCATCAGTGACATTCCACCTGAACAGAATAACAGATGACTGGCATCTTATTGCATGTCCAAGTGCTCATAGGCCTGACTGATTTTGCCTTATCATTCAGGAACTCAGTTCTGGAATTCCTGCAATCAGTTATAGAGCATATATTAGGCAAGGGAAGTAGGAGAAACACTGAATCAGATTCATTCATTTTTTGCTTTTGTCATCCTGATTTTGGGAACTAACATTTGGATCAGTGATGCATGTGGTGTTTGGGTAAGCATGGTGATTGCAGTGTGTGTGAGTGAGTGTGTTCTTTGTTTTCTAACATGACTGGTTGATTTCATAAAATATACATTTCTTATTTGAATTAATGTACATATTTATATACTGACTACAGCCGCTGATGCTTATTGAATGAATTCAGTTTAATTATTCTGTGAGGAAAAAATATTTTAAATATTGCAGAAAATTGTAATGGAAAAAATTTAACATAAAGATAATTGGTCTGTTATCAGAGAGAAAGACTGGTAATTGCAGAAGGTCATGGGATGATATTATAATGGAAGATCACCCTCCCACCTCACATCCATCAAGTTGGTATTAACATTTGCAGGAGGTTAGAGTACCGTTTTAGACTAGTCCAATGGCATAATGTCAGTACGAAATTTTATGAAAATCTGTCCAATAATTCTTGAGTTATTATATGTATATAGATGGTCATCAATCATTGTAGAGGATCATGCATAATGATGTTGCAGAAGATAGTCCTTCCACCTCACTACTTGAAGCATCTATTACATTGGTATTACTGATTGTAGGGAATTTTAAAGCATATGAGTTTGTGTAGCTCCTATGTCATACATAAACTCCATATCATACTTAACGAAAATTAATTTGGCTGTTTTTGAGTTACATACAAGTAGATGTAGAGACAAGCCGGTCACAGTGGCTATGCGGTCTGAGGCGTGGGCGTTGTGTTCTTTGACTCTGGAACCATGGGTTTGAATCCCACTCAAAGCATGGATGTTTGTCTGTGTCTTTCTGTGTTGTGCTCTCCTGTGTACAGGTAGAGGCCTTACGACAGGCTGATCACTTCTCGGAGGTGTCCTGCAAAATGTTTAAATAGATCAAGTAACCTCCAAAAAGAGGCAGCCAAGACCCACACTGGGTTGTAGAGCCAGAGATGAGGTGTAGAAACAAAGTAGACTTGACAGGAGCTTGAATGGAGCTGAGAGAAATTGATTGTATGGTGATGTTCCCCCAATTAAATTTGCTTAAGATAGAGTTCATTAGCAAGCTTTTGTGGTGGAGAAGATAAATTGTGAGGTTCCATAATAGTGGGACCTTTTTGTGCTAGGTAGTATTTCAGTTTGCATGAAGATCTTGAAGATCTTCCATTTGAGTGATACTGTAACCACGTGAAATGCACAGTAGAATAAAAATATGTGTTTATTGAATGGAACCTTGGAATTTACTGAGAGTGGCATGATTACTTAAACATTGTATGTATGACTAAAGTATCCTTCTCTACTTGTTATTATAGAAAATTATAATGATACAACCACATTTTTTAATCACCACTGTTTTCTTGCAGCCCTTGGTTTGGTGGGATCTGTAAATTCTGACTCTAATTCAGAATTAACTGAACTGGGAAAAACAGAATTAATAACAATAGCACAGTCCATCTTGTATGCTTCAGAGTACAGTAATGGTAAGTTAAATTATGCATCACACATTCAGAGGTCCCACTATTATCTCATGTTCAGTAGTACATTCTGAAATATAGATTAAAATTTCAAAGAAGTGCAGTTAAACATATTGTAACGTGGGCCGGTATTGCGACCCTGATTGTCAACCCCTGATTTATTCACGTCAAATTAAATCAGTTACAGAGGTCTGCACATACAGTCAACTCTCTACAACAACAACACACTTGTTCCCTGTACACACACACACACACACACTGTAATCCGAGTCTATCTGGTCCCTCGAGCTCGGCGCTCTTCACACTCTTCGCTTATACATCGGCCCGTAGCACCCCACTGGACACACGCTGTCTATAAACAGACACAACAATGCCAGACACAATAATGTCTAACGCAACAATGTCATTAAACAGACACAACAATATCTATAAACGAGTACAACAATGCCAAACGCAACATGTCACAATATGTATAATTAGTAGCTGTAACGTTACCTTACACAAAATCACATCTGACTACCCTGAGTAGCATGACCATCAATTCTGCTGAGTTCTAAGTTGCATGGGCATGTGTCTAAAAATAGTTACACTCAGATCAAAATGACCATGTCACATTCCACTCCACAGAGGGGACTGTCTCCCATTATATCACTCCAGGAAGCAATATGGCTTCCTTAGACATTGCTGAACAATTTGGCATTTGATATTTTATGTATGTAGCTTAGTTTTGGAATTATGATTCCTTGGCAAGTATTGTGTTTTGTGAAAAATGTCCAGACCACAATGTCTGTATAAAGCTTCATGAGCCTGGTTTTCTTTGTGTTAAGTAATAAATATCAGAGTAGGATTTGATGTTTTCACAGTGGTGACTCAGAAGACAGCTATCTTCAATAAATGTCAGAACTTCTGAGCTAATGATCTTCACTTGGAGATTCTGAAGGTAACCAGGTTTTGTGGCTTTACTTGGTCACTCCAAGCAGCAATCAGGATTGGAAGTTTATATTACAGAATCCTGTTGTACTTATAGTAGTTAACAGTTATCTTATACAATCACTTATGTAACTTTTACCAGAGAGTATTTCACTGGGATCGTATTTGAACCACATGGTGGATATGTGCCAACCAAGACTAAGCAAACAGTGTAACAAACAAACAAAAAAATACACGCTTGTAGGCAAATGTTGACAAGACGAATAAAAACAGTTGGACCACATAATGGAGGAATGGACAACACATATATAAATGCCTATGAATATTTCACCAAGTTTTAATGTGCATATTTCATTTTACTTATTTTAAACCCAGCATCATGTCACTATGTACAACAAAGTGTAGCAGCTCTCGTACACCGAACATTGTAAAGTGAACCTATAGATGATCAAGTAGTGGTCAAGACATATTGTTCAAGTATAGCCCCAGTTAATCAGTGTAAAAATAGAGTAGCACAATTGCATTAGACACTGGTGTAAGTTGTAAAAAGTTGTACTTTAAAATAGACCATGTTTCCCAGTTTGTTATTCTTGAACATCTTACCATATCTTATCTAAAAACTATGTAATCTCAACAGTTGGTAGAGAGTAATAAAATAACTAGATGAACATACAACAAATTCATTCATAGAATTTAAAAAAACTGTTATCTGTAATATAATTACTAATTTAGGCTAACTGAACTATTTCAGTATAGTGCTTTTGTTCCTTGTTTTATTTTTTGCTACTTCTAAAATATTGTTTGTTATTGTAGGAAATGGCTATTACTTGTTTAGTGCCCCCAGCCTACAGTGTGATGTTGATGATAGTGGAAATTCAACAATTACAGAACTGGAGGAAGAAGTAACTACAAATGATTTTAAAATGGAAAATGAAACATTTTCCCTCTGGTACTGGTGGTAAGTTTCATAGTGCATTTTGTGTTAGTCTGCTCCGAGTTTCCAAGAAATTAAATTTGATTTATATTCATATAATATAACACCCATGTTATGCGATACTCAAACAAAATGTTACAAGTTTGTGATGGTAATTCTTTATACAATGTAAAATGACAACATGGCAGCTGCGTGAAAGAAAATAAAAGTTGCATTTGACCAGGATTCAATCCTGCAACCCCACACATATGAGACATACTGCCACACAGCTGACATATTGATATTGATTTAGATTACTTACAGAAGACACCACATGATTTGTACAGCTGGAACTTAAAGTTGTGTAAGTAAAATAATTGACATTATCTTTTATTAATAATCCAGAATTTTCAAAGAATGTTCCAATACAGATTACACCTTCATAATCTTATATATGTTCTCTTTTCACATGATTGGATTATAGTTTAGTTATCAGAACTTCTTTACCTCTATAGGTTATTAGGAATTGAATGGTAGAATGATTTGGAAACACATATTTTAAGGTACTGACCTATTGACAAGACGAATAAAAACAGTTGGACCACATAATGGAGGAATGGACAACACATATATAAATGCCTATGAATATTTCACCAAGTTTTAATGTGCATATTTCATTTTACTTATTTTAAACCCAGCATCATGTCACTATGTACAACAAAGTGTAGCAGCTCTCGTACACCGAACATTGTAAAGTGAACCTATAGATGATCAAGTAGTGGTCAAGACATATTGTTCAAGTATAGCCCCAGTTAATCAGTGTAAAAATAGAGTAGCACAATTGCATTAGACACTGGTGTAAGTTGTAAAAAGTTGTACTTTAAAATAGACCATGTTTCCCAGTTTGTTATTCTTGAACATCTTACCATATCTTATCTAAAAACTATGTAATCTCAACAGTTGGTAGAGAGTAATAAAATAACTAGATGAACATACAACAAATTCATTCATAGAATTTAAAAAAACTGTTATCTGTAATATAATTACTAATTTAGGCTAACTGAACTATTTCAGTATAGTGCTTTTGTTCCTTGTTTTATTTTTTGCTACTTCTAAAATATTGTTTGTTATTGTAGGAAATGGCTATTACTTGTTTAGTGCCCCCAGCCTACAGTGTGATGTTGATGATAGTGGAAATTCAACAATTACAGAACTGGAGGAAGAAGTAACTACAAATGATTTTAAAATGGAAAATGAAACATTTTCCCTCTGGTACTGGTGGTAAGTTTCATAGTGCATTTTGTGTTAGTCTGCTCCGAGTTTCCAAGAAATTAAATTTGATTTATATTCATATAATATAACACCCATGTTATGCGATACTCAAACAAAATGTTACAAGTTTGTGATGGTAATTCTTTATACAATGTAAAATGACAACATGGCAGCTGCGTGAAAGAAAATAAAAGTTGCATTTGACCAGGATTCAATCCTGCAACCCCACACATATGAGACATACTGCCACACAGCTGACATATTGATATTGATTTAGATTACTTACAGAAGACACCACATGATTTGTACAGCTGGAACTTAAAGTTGTGTAAGTAAAATAATTGACATTATCTTTTATTAATAATCCAGAATTTTCAAAGAATGTTCCAATACAGATTACACCTTCATAATCTTATATATGTTCTCTTTTCACATGATTGGATTATAGTTTAGTTATCAGAACTTCTTTACCTCTATAGGTTATTAGGAATTGAATGGTAGAATGATTTGGAAACACATATTTTAAGGTACTGACCTAGTATTTTCCTAGAAGCACAAAAGTCGGAGTAAACCTCAAGATAGCTGATCTGTATGCCAGTATGGGTCAGCTGGAACCTTCTGAATACAAAGCAGTAGGTGAACCATTCAATCACAGTATTCAGATTCATATTCTTCAAGGAAAGTAGACCTTAGATGGCTGCGTTCTGGTGAGGTCTTTGCTGGCCCCATCATAAGGGCTCATTGCCCTGAAATGCTGGTAAACTTCTCTGAGACTACACAGTGCTAAAACCAAGAAGATAACCATCTTTGGATTTACCGCCGTGAAAACCTCAAATTGTACAAAATAGACCTTGTTTATTTGCTAAACATACCTCATCCATTTTCCATATAAGAAGAGCAAGAACTGCATTGTGGAGGCATACATTTAATGAAGATTTCTGTCTTCTGGATTGTTGCACTGTGTAGTCTGGTAGACGTTTACTACGTTTCAGAGGTCATACTGTATCGCAATGATGACGGAGGCAGTGTGACCTCTGAAACGTTCGTAAACATCTACCAGATTACACAGCGCAACAACCCAGAAGACAGAAATCTTCATACCGTTGTGAAAACCTCAAATCATACATACATTTAATGTTTTTTTTTCAGGAAAGAGGTTCTTGTCATTAGCATTTCCACTGCTGTCTTAGTGAATCTGGTAGTGATGCAGCGATTCGTGCACGTCTTTCACCTTCCATTTACAAACAGTGAAGTAGCAGAACAGGTAAGAGTTCAGTATTTTAATGAGCTGTTGGTAGGAGACTGTGGTCCTGTATGTGGTTACCACCATTGTAGAGGAACCTATAAGATGACAATTTGAGGTCTCACTGCTGTGTAAATCTTAAATCTCATATGTTTGAAGTAGGGTTGGACAGTTACAGCAAATCTTGATACAGTTAAATTCAAGGAGCCCAAACTGTTTTCTACAGAGAATGCAGCCTGTGTATCAGTGAACCATCTGTTTTAAAGAATAGTACAGATTTATCTGAAACTGATGCCAAGTTCTGTTCCAAGCTTGTGATGTGTGACTTACTCTATTTTCTGCATCCTCTGAATGAAATCAGCCATAAATGTGTTATATGTGTTCAGAATGCATGTAGATGCAGCGTGGTGCAGTTTTGGACTGTGATGCTGGTTGCAAAAATGTTTCCTGTGCATCTCTCTCCCTTTCTGACCTGAAGATGAAGGTGGGCCAGCCTCCAAAATGCTGCATACTTAATTTTAACTTCAAACAGTTGATATTACTAGGGGAAATACTTATATTATAGTAGCAGTTTTCAGTAAAATTTGATTTGGAATTTACATTAAACTTTCAAAGAAAATGTAGCTCCAGTTTGTTTTGGTATAATATAAACTTGAGTGTACATGACGTTCCATTTCCATGTAATGGAAATGGAATGTCATGCATATTATGTGTACTCCAACTTAGAATATGCCTTGCCTCTCTTGTTTTGGAATATCCACACCAGAATGTTGTTTAAAACCACATGTAGCTGTGGGAATTCTTTTGCAAATGCAGCTATATCAAATTTATGTAGTGTCTATCTGAGCTCTTAAAAGTCAAGGCACTTGATGTGGAGTTACTGCATTTCATTTGGTTATATTCTGTATTAGTGAACAACATGATTCCCTCAGGATTCTTATTTATTTGCTAGGAAATCATTGTTGTGGAGAAACCAGTAGCAGTGCTTCCGGAGCCAGAACCACTACCCGCACACAGAAGCCATTCAGATCCAGGTGGACAGCAGTCATCTGAGTTCACCTCACGCTTCTTGACAGACTTCAGTCCTGTTCATTGCCTTGGGAAGGGTGGTTTTGGAGTTGTCTTTGAAGCTAAGAATAAGATTGATGATTGTCACTATGCCATTAAACGTATTCCTCTTCCGAACCGGTAAGATACGTGAGTTTGAGCTTTTAATACCAGTACATATACTACAGAAAGAGGGTTGTAATATTGTTATGCCATGTTTGTAGTGAAAAGTAGTAAAAATGAGTCTGTTAGCATTAACATATCTGATGTGAAGCTTTCACGGCAGCTTTCATTAATAAAGTCTTCTCGGGCTATAAGCCATGTTAGTTGGTGATTGATCACCAACTAACATGGCTTATAGCTCGAGAAGACTTTATTAATTAACATATCTGTTTGTTGTCCATCTAATCACATGTAACAACTTTACAACTGAATGGATTTTTATGTTTGATATTGGTGGATTTTACTAAAAATTGTTGATACATTCCATTTTCTGTTAAAATTGAACACTTTATGTGAAGACCTGCACTTGTTTTTTTGTGCGTCACAAACAAAAGTCACGCGTAACTTACTTTATGTTTTTTGAGCAAAAAAGTTTTGAACAGAAGTTTATAAAAAATATCTGATACACCTTTTTAATTCTTACAATTTTTAAATACTTTAAACAAAAGGCACTTTTTAATTTTTTAAATCCCATCTCAAATGTTGCTACTCATAAATTGAATATCTACAAACAATAACAGTGAATGCACCACAGGCCTCAGGAGGCCCAAGATATCAAGCCTTTGGGACACTCCTAGCCAATTTCCCTATACCTAATCCCAGCTGTGTTGTTTTATTTAACTCCTGGGGCTGTACTGTCCAGTCCCTTTCTGAGGATGCTTGCGTTTTTGGGGTCTGGCCCCCAGTTAGTGTTGCCCTGCTTTCACCATTGTGGCTAAACATTAGTCCAGGAATTCTTGGTGTTTTGCCCATCACTTTTCACACACTTTGATCACTGTCTGTTCACTTGAACAACATGTTTTGAACCAATGTAGGTTCAGTTTTCTGTTTCTATGTCATTGCACTAAGGATTTCCTAGAAGCTAGAAATGCTAGGGAAGCAGGTATTATTTTATTTTTCCATGATTTATTGTTTGTTGACATTCTGATTTAAAGTTTCCATATTCAAATCTTAGATTGGCAATTTTATTTGCTAGAAGCACATACTTTACAAACGTTTTTGTTTTGTTAAGTGTACCAGTTATTTGTACGGAATATGAATATTATGTAAGCCCTTGAAAGAGCTGTTTTAAAGACCTGGTTTCTTTAATATGATGTTAAGAATCACTGAGCTTCAGGCACAGATCTCATCTTGACAGAAATCCTATGCCAGTGAACAATATATCACAAAAATAAGTAAAATAAATACCTGCTTCCCCACACTTCTATCCTCACTAGTGCAGCACACACGATGCAGTGATAATATGGATTATTATACTGATGAGTGCTTTTTTCTCATTAACAAAAGTTACAGGACTGCATATGCTTTTTACACAATAATTAGGTCTACACAC